AAAGGATGAAAGGAGTTGGAGTCAGTAGAACCATCTGCAACCAGCACAGCCACCCAGGGCCAGGACAGTTGTTCGAGAAGCCAAGAAGTGAGCCTCCTCTTGGCTTTGCTGTCTTAGTTCCTTTGTGCTGCTCTGTACCACAGACTGAGTCACTTACAAGCAACAGAAATGTATTTCCCACGTTTCTGGAAGCTTCGAAGTCCGAGATCAAGGCATCCTCGAGCTTGGTGTCTAGTGATGGCCCAGTCTCTACTTCCGGGACAGTGCCTAGGTGCTGCTCCATCATGGAGGCTGTGTCCTCACAAGGTGGATGAGACGAACTCGCCCCTCAGGCCTTTTCATATTGTTGCTAATCTCATCAAGAGGGCTCTGCCCTCGTGACTTAATCATCCCCTAGAGGCCCCACCTGTTAATTCTGTCACATTGGTGATTAAACTTCAACACATGAATCTGGCAGGACCTTCAGATCATGGCACTTGGCCTCATTCTGCTCACCTGTGGCAGGGGGCAGATGAGGATAGAGCCTGTCTGGGGCTTCTCAGGTGGGTGGGGTCTAGGCTTTGCTTCTGGAGTCTGTCACGCAGGATCTCAATAAGCCTATAGGCCTCAGCAGCCAGTGGTCAGGGCTGAGGACAATGGAGGGTGACCTGTGTGAACTCGATGGCTAGAGGTCATCCCCTGAGATGTAGTGGGAAGAGAGTTCCCGAGCAGAATCCATAGTGAGAGAAGAGAACACACAGGACTGCGTGGCTGGGCCTCGGCAGAGACACAGAGCAGAGCACTCTCTGGAGCAGGAGGCCCACATGGCGTGGCATCCCTCCGCAGCCATGCTTCCCTGGTATTTGGGCAGGCCTCCCTACACGCTGAACCATGAGCCTCAGGACGGGCTGGAGGAAGGGGTTTCTGGTTCCTCTGCCTCTCCTGGGCCTGAGCTTGTGGCTGTCACTGCCCAGGTGGCATCCAAGGCTCTGCTGTCTGTCCATGGCATCTGGACCTCTCATCTGTCCACACCCAATGCTTCAGGCACGGTCCCTCCGCCATTGGTCACGTCCAGCTTGACCAAGGTTGCTCGCCTGCACTTTACATTCCAATATATGCTGTGAGTGTGTCCTCTCTGGGCAGCTTCCCAGCCTCCCTTACTCCCCAGGGGCTCCTCCTCTGACCCCGTGCACTTCCCCTGCTTCCTCCACATTAAGGGGCTTCCTCCACCATCTGTCCAGTCACCTGGGAGTCATCCCAGGCTCAGGTGATCTGAGGACGAAGAATTGACCACTGGGATTGGCGGTGAGGCTGGTGCCCTTGTTTGTTTTTGAGCTGAAGTCATGCTCTGTCGCCAGGCTGGAGTGCAGTGGTGTGATCTTTGCTCACTGCAACCTCCACCTCCCAGGTTCAGGAGATTCTCTGGCCTCAGCCTCCCGAGTAGCTGGGATTACAGGCACATACTACCACAGCTGGATAATTTTTGAATTTTTAGTAGAGATGGGTTTGACTGTTGCCCAGGCTGGTCTTGAACTCCTGACCTCAAGTAATTTGCCCGCCTCAACCTCCCAAAGTGCTGGGATTGCAGGCGGGAGCCACTGTGCCCAGCCCCAAGAGGGGCTTCTCTCCGTCTTCCAGATTAACAGGTGCGCTCATTCTACCAAGCCGGTTCATTTTCTCAAATGCTCACTGAGCCCTCCACAAGCCAAGGACAGGGCTGGATGTGTAGTCTGGAAACCCAGAGATAATTCAGATCCGAGCCCTGCCACTGAGTCACTCCTGGCCCATGGAGAGAGCTCTGCACAGCTGTGAATCTCCCTGACTGGGTAGATGTGGTGACAGCTGCAGGAAGGGGAACCATGTGACCTGGGAGTATGGGCAAAGGATTCCAACTGCAGAATCCTGTAGGAATGGTTATTTGTCTTGTTCTGCCTGGCCACAGAGTGAGCAAGTTGAGAGAAAGCACCTTGTCTTACACGTCCCCTCTCTTGGACATAATTGCCCTTAAAAAATTTGTGAGTTAGCTGGGCGTGATGGCTCACAGCTGTAATCCCAGCACTACTGGAGGCCGAAGTGGGCAGATCACAAGGTCAGGAGTTTGAGACCAGCCTGACCAACATGGTGAAACCCCGTCTCTACTAAAAATGCAAAAATTAGCCAGGTGTGGTGGCACTCGCCTGTAATCCCAGCTACTCAGGAAGCTGAGACAGGAGAATTGTTTGAACCCAGGAGGCAGTGGTTGCAGTGAGCTGAGAACATATCACTGTACTCCAGCCTGGGTGACAGAGCAAGACTCTGTCTCAAAAAAAAAAAAAAAAAAAATCTGTGAGTTTGTGGTCTTCTGGCTGCTTCTGCTTCCCTAGGGACAGCCCTCCTAGTGGCTGGGGGCAAAGTTTTAAAAACAAAACCCAGCGGCCAGGTGGCTCACGCCTATAATCCCAGCACTTTGCCAGGCCGAGGCGGGTGGATCACGAGGTCAAGAGATTGAGACCATCCTGGTCAACATGATGAAACCCCGTCTCTACTAAAAATACAAAAAATTAGCTGGGCATGGTGGCGCATGCCTGTAGTCCCAGCTACTCGGGAGGCTGAGGCAGGAGAACTGCTTGAACCCAGGAGGCAGAGGTTGCGGTGAGCCGAGATCGCGCTATTGCACTCCAGCCTGGACAACAAGAGCGAAACTCCGTCTCAAGAAAACAAAACGAAACAAACCAAAAAAACACCTGGCTGGGAACAGTGGCTCACACCTGTAATCCCAGCACTTTGGGAGGCTGTGATGGGCAGATCACTTGAGGTCAGGAGTTTGAGACCAGCCTGCTCAACATGATGAAATCCCGTCTCTACTAAAAATACAAATATTGGCCGGGCGCGATGGCTCAAGCCTGTAATCCCAGCACTTTGGGAGGCCGAGGCGGGTGGATCACGAGGTCAAGAGATCGAGACCATCCTGGTCAACATGGTGAAACCCCGTCTCTACTAAAAATACAAAAAAATTAGCTGGACATGGTGGCGCGTGCCTGTAATCCCAGCTACTCAGGAGGCTGAGGCAGGAGAATTGCCTGAACCCAGGAGGCGGAGGTTGCGGTGAGCCGAGATCGCGCCATTGCACTCCAGCCTGGGTAACAAGAGCGAAACTCCGTCTCAAAAAAAAAAACAAAACAAAACAAAAAAAAAACACAAATATTAGCTGGTCATGGTGGTGCATGCTTGTAATCCCAGCTACTCGGGAGGCTGAGGCAGGAGAACCGCTTGAACCTAGGAGGTGGAGGTTGCAGTGAGCCAAGATTGTGCCACTGTACTCCAGCCTGGGCGACAGAGGAAGACTCTAAACAAAACAAAACAAAACAAAAAAACACAAAAACCCAAACTGGTAGAAAAGATAAGTACTTTAGAGTCAGGTAACCGTGGGTTCTTTTTTTTTTGACAGGGTCTGGCTCTGTCGCTCAGGCTGACGTGCAGTGGCGTGACCTCAGCTCACTGCAACCTCCACTTCCCAGGCTCAAGCAATCCTCCCACCTCAGCCTCTGAGTAGCTGGGACTACAGGCGTGCACCACTGTGCCCTGCTAATGTTTGTGGTTTTGGTAGAGACAGGGTCTTACTGTGTTGCCCAGGTTGGTCTGGAACTCCTGAGCTTAAGCAATCCGCCCTCCTTGGCTTCCCGAAGTGCTGGGATTACAAGCATGAGCCACCACACCAGCCAGCTGTGAGTTCTGAGTCGTTTTCACACTGACTAGCTATGCCGTGTGACCTCAGACAAGTCATGTTATGTTTCTGAGTGTCATCATCAGTAAAAGAGGGTAATACTATTTACACAGGTTTGTTTATAGAATTAAATCATGTGACTTCTGTAAAGCCCCAACTGTCTGGCACTTAGGTGGCCTTCAGTAAAGCTTAATTCCTAGATTATTTCTTTCTTTCTTTTTTTTTTTTTGAGATGGAGTTTCGCTCTTGTTACCCAGGCTGGAGTGCAATGGCACGATCTCGGCTCACCGCAACCTCCGCCTCCTGGGTTCAGGCAATTCTCCTGCCTCAGCCTCCTGAGTAGCTGGGATTACAGGCACGCGCCACCATGCCCAGCTAATTTTTTGTATTTTTAGTAGAGACGGGATTTCACCATGTTGACCAGGATGGTCTCGATCTCTTGACCTCGTGATCCACCCACCTCGGCCTCCCAAAGTGCTGGGGATTATTTCTTTCAAAACAGCGATTTGCCCTACGTGAAGTCACTGCAAGAAGATAGTGGTAAAAATCAAATGTAATAGACAAACTCTCAGTAATGACCCACCTGCACCCTTTCCAACCAATGGACATTTACTGAGCACCCACCTTCTGGGCAACAGGCCTGGTGTCCAGTGCTGGAACAGTGGAGAGGCGCTCAGAGGTTCAGAGCTGAAAAGTCAGCTCCAGGAGGACAGGGACTTGTTGGCCATTGTGTTCCCAGCCCTTAGAATAGGCCAGGAAGATAGTAGGTGCTCAGTATTTGTTGAATTAACGAATGAATGAAAAGTACAATCCAGTGGGCCGCTGACTCAGTTTTTTCTTTTGTTTTTATTATTTTCTCTGACTCATTTTTAAAGACCTGAGCCAAGCCCTTGATCTCTCTGAGCTGGTGTGTGTCCCCATCAGCGAAGCCAGAGGTGTTTAAGTAATCTCGAGGTCCTGCTGAGCAGAATTAATAGAGCAATAATATTTATAATAGCAACAGTCATAATTAAACATATGGAGCACAGCTATGGAGGGAATAACATGTTACGTCCACGTTATAGAAGAAGAAACTGAGACACAGGCATGGAAGGCTCCTGGAGAAGCGGGCGTTTCATGATGTTTTGGAAGAAAGACTGGGGATCGGACGTAGTAGTAGAGAAGAGGATCCACGACCCAGAGAAAAAGGCCTTTTGTCCCAGTGCCATCGCGCCGCGCGGGCTGCGGACATTGTAGGAGGGACCAACGCCGCCCGAACCCGCCCAACCCAGCCTCCGGCATCTCCATGGCAACAACCTCCGCACATGCGCCGCGAGCACCGGCGCCGGGGCTGGCAGCGCGAGCCGAAGCCGGACGCAGGCCGGGCGGAAGCGGGCCCGGGGGGCTGGGGCGGCGGGAGCGCGGGTGGGCGTTTAAAGGCGCCTTCGGCACCCGGTTCGGTTCGCCGCCGGGACTGCTGATGGTGAGGGCTAGGTGGCCCCGGGAGTCGGGATCTAGAAGGTAGAGGAGAAACAGGGTTGTCTGACCCCCGGAGGTGACAAGGGGAGACGGGCTGTGTAAATACCCTCCCTGGGCAGTAATGGGATGACTGTCCCCAGGGAGCACTGCGGAGGAGAGAGGGGGCTGTAGGACGGCATTTTCTGGGGCCCCCGGGGAGAGTCAGAGGGCAGTTAAGAGGGATCACAGGCCCGGCTTGGGACGGTCACCCCCCTTTCCACTCCCTGCTCTCAGCATTCTGCCATCTCCCTACCCCATCGCGGTGCCCAGCCATGGCCAGACCTCCCGTGCTCGGTTCGGTGGTTGTCCCAAACTGGCACGAGAGTGCCGAGGGCAAGGAGTACCTGACTTGCATTCTGCGCAAGAACCGCCGGCGGGTGTTTGGTAAGTGCCTCCCGCTTTCCTCCAGCCTGTTGCTTGTCTCTCCCTGGGGAGAGGAGTATCGTCTGTTGCTCCCTGAGTGGGGCAGAGAGGCAGGACAGTGAGGGCCTGCTCCACTGCAGTCTTCAGCCTGGGGGACTGAAAGCCCTATCCCTGGGACCCCTACCACTGAATCTCCTTAGAGCTAATTCCATCATCAGAGCCAGGAACATGGAAACAGCAAGAAACCCTGTCAGCAACCACTGTTACCAGAGGTGCAGTTGACTGAGCCGTCCCCTGGTGCCAGGGCTTCTGCTGGGCACTTTCCACAGTGCACTCCCATTTAACCTCTCAGCAGCACGTGGTACAGACTTGGCTAAGATCACGCCCTAGTAAGTAGAGGTGAGGCTCTTCCATGTGCTGCTGTCTCTGGGATGAGACACTGGTGTTCCCCATGGTGAAACTGACTCGCCCAGGCAGGGCCCGGCTGTGAGGCCACCAGGGGTACCTGGAATGAGCTGTGGAGTCCAGTTCTGGCCAGGAGAAGCAAGGCCCCAGAAGGCTTCAGACCAGAGAGTAAGATAGCTAGAACCAAAATTTGTCAATATGTCAACTGTGTTTTTTTTTAAACAAATTACACTAGGTTGAAAATATGACCCTCTGGAAGGCCGGGCGCAGTGGCTCACGCCTGTAATCCCAGCACTTTGGGAGGCTGAGGCAGGGGTTCAAGACCAGCTTGGCCAACATGGCGAAACCCTGTCTTTACTAAAAATACAAAAATTAGCTGGGCATGGTAGCAGGCACTTATAATCCCAGCTACTCGGGAGGCGGAGGCAGGAGAATTGCTTGAACCCAGGAGGCGGAGGTTGCAGTGACCCTAGGTGGAGCCATTGCACTCCAGCCTGGGCGACAAGAGCAAAAGTCTGTCTCAAAAAAAAAAAAAAAGACCCTCTAATATGGCCACTGTCCCTCTGATCCCATGATGGTTGGTAGCACTGCGTTTGAGGTCCCACACACCCAGGCTCCACCACTGCCTGTGTGACTGGCTGATAAGTCAACTCTAGCCTCAAGTCCCACCTCTGTAAAATGGGGATAATCATAGTATTTACCCCACAGAGTTGCAGGGGAAATTCCTAAGGAGTTTTGTGTTTGTAACACACTGAGCAGGCTCTGGCATGCAGTGGGTGTTCACTGAAGGTTGGCTGTTCGTTTTGTGTTTATTTGTGTTGAGTGGAAGAGAATTGGGTGAAGGCTGAGCTGATTTTCTGGGAATGTCATAGAACCCACTGACCATATTATCTATGCCACAGATAGGATCAAGCAGCCGTAACTTAGAGGTATGGCAGTGGTGGCTTTGAATTTTTGTGTTTTTACTTTACCTGCCGACATCTGGGAGGTTTTGTGAACACCTGAATGTGTCGTTCAGCAGTTGCCATGCAGGCCCCCGGACAAACATTGAGAGCAGCTGGTAAATATCAACTTAGGCCAGTCTCTTTGTATCCCAGACTTCTGTAAAACTGGGATGAGTATTAAGAACCACAGATGGGGCCAGGTGCGGTGGTTTACCCCTCTAATCCCAGCACTTTGAGAGGCCAAGGAGGGTGGATCCCCTGAGGTCAGGAGTTCAAGACCAGCCTGACTAACATGGAGAAATTCCATCTCTACTAAAAATACAAATTTAGCCAGGTATGGTGGTGTCTACCTGTAATCTCAGCTACTCTGGTGGCTGAGGCAGGAGAATCACTTGAACCCGGGAGGTGGAGGTTGCAGTGAGCAAAGATCTTGCCACTGCACTCCAGCCTGGGCGACAGAGTGAGACTCCATCTCAAAAAGAAAAAGATACAGAAAAAATAAATAAATGAGATTGTCCAGCCTAGGATCTGATGGAGAAAGTACAGGACTGACCCCCTATCTTAGTCCATTTTATGCTGCTATAACAGAATGCCACACTCTAGGTTATTTATTTATTTATTTATATTTTTTTGAGATGGAGTCTCACTCTGTTGCTCAGGCTGGAGTGCAGTGATACGATCTCAGCTCACTGCAACTTCCACTTCCCAGGTTCAGGTGATTCTCCTGGCTCAGCCTCCCAAGTAGCTGAGATTACAGGCACCCACTCCTACACCCAGCTAATTTTTTGTATTATTATTTTTTTTTAATAGAGATGGGAGTTTCACCATATTGGCCAGGCTTGTCTCAAACTCCTGACCTCAGGTGATCTGCCCGCCTTGGCCTCCCAAAGTGCTGAGATTACAGGTGTGAGCCACCACGCCCAGCCTCCTCTGGGAAATTTATAATGAATGGAAGTTTATTTGGCTCACAGTTCTGGAGGCTGGGAAGTCTAAGAGCATGTCATCTGGAAAGGGCCTTCATGCTGTGCCATCCCATGGCAGAAGGCAGAAGTGTGACAGTAAGGCAGCAAGAGGTGCCCAAACTGGCTTTTATCACAAACCCACTCCCTCGATAACAACACGGATCCATTTGTGAGGGTAGAACACTTGAGCTCATCGCCTCTTGGTAGGCCCTACCTCCTAACACTGTTGCATAGGGGATTAAGGATCTCACACATGAACTTTGGGGGACACCTTCAAACCACAGCACCTTTTGACCCTGCCTGGCTCCCTCTTTGCTCCAGGGCTGCTTGAGCGGCCAGTGCTGCCACCACCTGTGTCCATTGACACTGCCAGCTACAAAATCTTCGTGTCCGGGAAGAGTGGTGTGGGCAAGACGGCGCTGGTGGCCAAGCTGGCTGGCCTGGAGGTGCCTGTGGTACACCACGAGACCCCCGGTGAGTGGGATTCAATCCTTTGCCCATCCTGGGAGGCCCTCCTTGGGGTGGGGGCAGGAACCTGGCCCTGGACCACACAAGCCAGGGTCGATACCCAGCTCCACATCCTACTCTATAGCCTTGGAAAGTCACTTCACCTCTCTGAGCCTCCGTGGGCTCCTCAGTCCCAAGGGGATGCTAGTACCCACCCCACAGGGCTGTTGTGTGGTTGCCAGAGGTCGTGGTGGTAACATCCCTAGCATCAAGCTAGGCTCGAGGTAGATACTCAGGAAATGCTAATCTTCCTTTCTTGTTTCTTACCACTGGGTGCTGATTGATCCACCCTGTTGAAACATGCCCAGTGTCCCGGGACCTTTGGTCTCCCTGCACATACAAACAAAACTGCTTTGCCATGGCTGGGACTGCATCTTCCTGGCGTGCCAGAGGCTCCTCCAGGGTCAGTCTCTGTTTCTCCCATCAGACTGAGAATTCTCCCAGGTCAAAGACTGTGCCTCCCTCATCAAAGTGGGGACCCCTCAGGGCAGGGACGTATCTCTTGTTCCTGTTCCTTCCTGCCCCCAGTCCTCCATCTCCACCCCTCCCATGCTAAATGGCTGACCCTGGCTCCCCTCAGGCATCCAGAGCACCGTGGTATTTTGGCCAGCCAAGCTGCAGGCCAGCGACCGTGTCGTCATGTTTCGGTTTGAGTTCTGGGACTGTGGAGAGTCTGCACTCAAAAAGTTCGATCACATGCTGCCGGTGAGCAGGCACGTGGGCCTGGGCGGGCTCTGCCGGGGCCGATTGGGTATTAATGAGCTCAAGGCACTGGCTGGGTATGGTGGCTCACACCTCTAATCCCAGCACTTTGGGAGGCTGACGCGGGCCAATCACCTGAGGTCGAAAGTTTGAGACCAGCCTAACCAACATGGAGAGACTCTGTCTCTACTAATGATACAAAAAGTTAGCCAGGCGCCTGTAATCCCAGCTACTCGGGAGGCTGAGGCAGGAGAATCGCTTGGACCTGGGAGATGGAGGTTGCAGTCAGCCGAGATCGAACCGTTGCACGGAGCAAAACTCCGTCTCAAAAAAGAAAAGAAAAAAATTCAAGGCACTGCCCTGGGAGCTAGAGATCTGAGCTGGCACTGGGGACTGAGTCCCAGCCCATGCTCATCCTAGGACCAGCCACATCATGCTCTGGGCCTCAGTTTCCCAATCTGTGAAAGGAGGGATTATTCCTGATTCTTCTCAGTGCCCTGCAGCTGATGGGAGGGTTGGCACGGTTATATGCCTCTCTGTCGCCAGGCTTGCAAGGAGAACACGGATGCTTTCCTCTTCCTTTTCTCCTTCACTGACCGTGCCTCCTTTGAAGACCTCCCTGGACAGCTGGCCCGCATAGCAGGTGAGGCCCCTGGTGTCATCAGGATGGTCATCGGCTCCAAGTATCCTTTGGGTAGCCCCTGGGGCTGTCAGAGGCCACCCTTGGCGAGTCATGGAGCAAGGGGGTCAGGGGCCTGGCCTCTGCCCAGGTGTGGAATTCAACACCTGGGCTTGTACTTAAAGGGTACAGCATGGCTAGCCCAGCTCCTGGGTGCGGGCTCCAGGGCGGAGGGAGAGGCGGGGTCTGATGGGGGCGTGTGCAGAGGCACCTGGCCAGGCTCCTTGACCCTCCTCCAGATTTGACCAGTATATGCACACAGACGTGCCCGAGCGGGACCTCATAGCCTTCCGGCAGGCCTGGGAGCTGCCCCTGCTACGGGTGAAGAGTGTGCCAGGGCGGCGGCTGGCTGATGGGCGCACGTTGGACGGGCGGGCTGGGCTGGCTGACATTGCTCACATACTCAATGGCCTCGCTGAGCAGCTGTGGCACCAAGACCAGGTGGCGGCTGGCCTGCTTCCCAGCCCCCCAGAGAGTACTCCTGGATGAATCACGAGTGGGTGCCTGTGATCCCGCCCCCAACCCTCAGGTCTCAACACAGGGCATGAGGCTGGGGCAGGAGCATGGATCCCGTCTGGAAGACTGGGCAGCATGGCCTGGTCAGGGAGGACGTGGCCGGAGAAGCCCCCGCCAGCAACGCTTTCCTTGCAGAATTCATGGCATGGAGATGGGGACCGAGATCCTGAGCTCGGACATCTTTTCATGGCCTCTCCCCCTTTTGGCAGCACCCATGGCAGGTGACAGGGAGATGGGGTGCCTCTCAAGTGACTTCAATCAAGAACCTGTATTGGTAGAGGTGACACCATCTGTTGTAACAGATAAACACCGAACTTCCAGTGCTGAACTCCATAGACCTGTTAGTTCTTGCATTGGCTTCAGGAGGAGGTGACAGTGGGTGTGGGGCCCTGCTCCAGGTGCTTCTGCAGAGACCCAGCCCCAGAGATCCTGCCCAGTTGCCCCAGGGCATCAGCACCCAGTCAGCAGCCAGGGAGTGAGTACAGGAGGGAGGTGGCCCCCAGCTTTCTGTGGACCAGGCCCAGGGTGGCACCTCATTCTGCCTACTCCAGAGGCCAGCACCCAGCAGTCATGTGGTCATGTGGTGCTGTGGGGGAGGCTGGGACATGGAGTCCACCTGTGAGTCCAGGAGTCAAGCCCGTCACTCTGCAGTGCATTTTTTTTTTTTTTTTTTTTTTTTTTTTGAGTTGGAGTCTGGCTGTCTCACCCAAGCTAGAGTGCAGCTCACTGCACCCTTCGCCTCCTAGGTCCCAGCGATTCTTCCTGCCCCAGTCTCCCGAGTAGCAGGGATTACAGGTGCCCGTCACCATGCCTGGCTAATTTTTGTATTTTTAGGAGGTGGGTTTTGCCATGTTGGCCAGGCTGGTCTCAGACTCCTGACCTCAGGTGATCCACCTGCCTCAGCCCCCCGAAGTGCTGGGATGAGAGGCGTGAGCCACCATGCCTGGCCCACAGTGCCTTTTGTTCTTTTTTTTGTTTCAGAATCTTGCTCTGTCACACAGGTTGGAGTACAGTGGCATGATCTCAGCTCACTGCAACCGTACATCTGGGTTCAAGCAATTCTCATACCTCAGCCTCCTGAGTAGCTGAGATTACAGGCACCCACCACCATGTCAGCTAAATGTTGTATTTTTAGTAGAAATGGAGGTCTCATTATATTGGCCAGGCTGGTCTCAAACTCCTGACCTCAAGTGATCTGCCCGCCTCAGCCTTCCCAAAGTGCTGGGATTACAGGTGTGAGCCACCACACCCAGTCTGCAGTGCCTTTCTTGATCATGAAGCTGTCAGGCCAGGCTTAGGATGGGAATCCTGGCAGCCCAAGGCATCCAAAAGCAGCACCATGCAGGGCCGAGGACCATTCCCGTGGGAGTCAGGGCATGAGCTGACTTGAGAGGCAGCTCTGCCCCATGGGAGGCCATCGACAGGAGCCGGGAGGGAGTGAGCAGGCCCAGCCTTGTGCCTCGGCCCTGCCCCATGAGCCAGAGACACTGGACTAAGGAGACTAAGGAGGTATAGCCTAAGGAGGATGAGGGGAAGGCCCCAGGGAAATGGGCCTTTATACTTTCCCCTCTGATGAGCTCCTGCCCATCTACGCTTCAGCCCATAGATGAACCCCTGGGCTGAGGCCTGGCCTGCGTCTGGTCTAAAGCAGAGTGTCCCCAAAGCTAGCTGACCCTTGGAGCGCTGCAGCTCTGCTGAGGCCCCACTCACACAGCACCACCTGTGCTCACACACCTGCGCCAGGACGAAAGTGCTTTCCATTCCTGCCTCCTGGCACACACAGGAGGCCCAGATTCACCTGTCCTGATGCCCGTGCCCAAGCACACATGCCCATGCATGCTGCCAGCCTGTCCACCCTGAATACTGCCACCTGTGTTTGTCAACCTGGGTCAGCACTGCCACCTGGTTTTGTTTCCAGGGTCTAGGCCAGAGGAAGGACTGATTCTCGCACGCTCTCACCCCCGAGTCTCGGCGCTCAGGCCCTGCACTTATCCCACACCCTGCGAAGGGACCCCAGCCTCAGAGCCTGCAGCCAGTTCCCACTCCTGCAGCCCTCAGCCCTGCTCCCAGGGGGACGTGATCACATCCCCCTCTGTCCTTAACTCCAGGAGACCTTAGCTCTCCCGGGCAGCCATAGAGCTGGGCTTAGGGCCCTGAAGGCAGCCCCAGGCCTGACTGTGGCCTCCAGCTACCCCACAACCCAGGCAGTCATTTCTGGGCATAAACTGCCCCTTGAAAGGAAGCTTCCTGCCCCTCTTGGGGACCAGCTCAGCCAAAAGCCAGAAAGCTGCTCTGGAGCGAAACCCAGAGCCCCCCACGGTGAGGTAGGGCAGTCTTCTCCTGGCTGGCACTGCTCTGGTCACAGAATTGACCCCTCATCCACCTTTACCCCAAACAAGAGGTGTCTCCTTGGGTAAAGACAAAGTGGCGAGGGCAACAGGGCTGGGGCTTAGAGCCCCTCCCCCATTCCTCCCCGGGCCGCCTTCTTAGCTCCTCCCAGCGCAGCCCCCGTGCCACTTTGGTATTTAGTAGGCCACCCCAGGGGCCGCCGTCTCCATAGTGCAGAACTGGGAGCCACAGTTCTTCCAATAGTTGACGCCTATGCCTCTTGGGAGGTTGCTGGGCAGCCCTGTGGAGGGCGGGTGAGAGGAGAGTGTGTTCTCACGTGCACGCGTTCAGGCTGATGGCATGGGCCTGAGACCTGTGTGGTCACACCAGGCCTCAAACTCCGAGGAGCCCCACACCTGGTTTAGTGCTCTGCCATTGCCCTCTTGATGATGCCCTTCTTATTTTTTTAAGAGACAGGGTCTTGCTCTGACGCCTAGGCTGGAGTGCAGTGGCACAGTCACTGCAGCCTCGAACTCCTGGGCTCAAGTGATCCTCCCCCTTCCTCCCCAGCCTCTCAAGTAGCTCCCACCATACCCCACCAATTTTAAAACTTTTTGAGAGACAGGGTCTCACTGTATTGCCCAGGCTGGTCTCAAACTCCTGGGCTCTGCTGGGTACAGTGGCTCACGCCTGTAATCCCAGCACTTTGGGAGGCTGAGGTGGGCTGATCACCTGAGGTCACGAATTCAAGACCAGCCTGGCCAACATGGTGAAACTCTGTCTCTACTAAAAACACAAAAGTTAGCTGGGCATGGTGGCGAGCGCCTGTCATCCCAGCTACTCAGGAGGCTGGGGCAAGAGAATTGCTTAAACCCAGGAGGCAGAGGTTGCAGTGAGCCAAGACTGCACCACTGCATTTCAGCCTGGGCAACAAAGCGAGACTGTCTCAAAAACACCAAACAACCACAAAAAACAGGCTGGAGGAGTGGGTTGGAGGCCCCTCCGCCTCTGGAACACTGGTGGGTGGGGAGAAGCAGGGGAGCTGGTGTTCAGCTCTGTTCTGTAAAGAAGGGGTGGATCCTGAGAGGCAAGGGCTGGGACTAAGTCCTAGTGAAGCTGGCCCAGAAGGCGGGTGAAGGGGAACTGCGTGACTTTGGATGCCTCTGTAATTCCCTTGTGCTCAGTTGACACGTCTGTGAAGTGGAGATAGCAGCACCCACTTCTTTGAGTTGTGAGAAGTAAATGCACATGAAATGTTTAGCATGTTCCGGGCACCGTTCTCGTCGTCCTTGTTAATACAGGAGCAGCGGCTGTTCTGGTCTGAGAGCAGGTGGAGGGGAGGAAGAAGGGTCGCAGATTGCGCTGACATTGGATCGCCTCCATTGCTACACTTCAATTTAGTCAGGGGCTGCGAGGAGGGAGGGGCGGCCCAACTGGGCCGATTCAGCAGCTTCTGGCACCTGCAACTGCGCCCCGTCCCCTCACCCTCACCTCTATGCCTGCTGCACCCAGGACCATGATGGCGCCGCGGACAGGAACCCGGACGACGCCTGTATCTGTGCTCCGCGCCCTGCGGCAGCATTTATATCCTGGACTCCAGGGGCAACGTTTTCTGAGACAGGAAAACCTACGTTGGTGAGACTTGGGCCACACAGGACTTTTGTCCCACCTCACCCAGAAGGCCGGAGTGGCCAGGCCACAGGCTCTTCTTTAAGCCCCCTCTCCCCTCCCCAAGAATCCCGCAGCATCCCTTGTCTTTTTCTTGCAATGGGCAGTTCGTTTTTCGAACTAACCCTAATACCTTTTGCTACAACTCAATTTTCCTTTAATGTTGGCCTTAGTGGGACTGATAGACTCACACCCCCCTTGCCGCCCAGTTGAAAGTGGGCCAGACCCGGGCCAGACCGTTCCCTAACTGTCCCCCCGCGCCCGCAATGGGGCGGACTTCGCGCTCGCCTGGAGAAGCTGCGACCCCTGTGGCGGCGGCAGAGACGGGGACTCCGGCAACGAAGCTGGCGCGAGAAGCTTCAGCAGGACCTGGAGGAGGTGAGTGCGGCGCCGGCGGGCTGCGGCTCCCGACACCGAGAGCAGACGCCCCAGGCCAGCTCTGAGACCCGCCCCGGCGCCTTCGGCAGCTCATCTGTGAAATGGGTTTGTCCATAGTGTCAGCCCCGTGCAGGGGCTGTGACGGTTACAGGGACGAAGTGTGTAGAGCGCTCAGCCCAGGGCCTGGCACATTAGAGGTGCCCAAGAAAGGGGCGAGATCAGTCACTATACGACGCGGCCCACCCGGCGTCTGTCTCTTCGTTTGAAAAACGAGGGTGTTCGGTTTCCTTGTTTGAAATGTAAACGAGGAAACGCATGTCACAGCTCTTTTGAAGGCGGAAAGGACCCACGCGAAAAATGGGATCTGTCACCTCCCGGCCGAGATCGGGAGCGGAGGGGCTTGGGGGTCCCTCACTCTCCTCTCCCGGGAGAGCAGCGCCGCGTAACGCCGCAGCCCGTCGGGAGCTGAGCGCGCCTGGGAGCCGCAGCGCTTCGCCGAGGAACCGAACCTGCGCGCGCCGCCGCAGGTGGAGGGGCGGGGCGGGGTCCGCCCGGGGCGGAGTCACCCCAGGAGCCGTAATCCTGACCTTGACCCGAGGCCCGGCCAACCCCGGCTCGGAAGGCTGGGCGGAGCCAGGGCGGCGCCGGCCCCTGAGCAACCCTCGGCCGCAGAACGTGCCCAGCCGGCCGCAGGACTCCTGCAGGTGCGACCTCCGGAGCTCGGAGCCCGACAGGTGAGACGGGACGGCGCCTCGGGTGGGCGGGGTCTGCCCGCGGAGAGGCTAGCAGTCCGCAGAAGCCTTAGCCCAACCAAGGCTGATTTACCCCTCCTTCCAGCACCTCAGAGGCAACTCCCGCTTCACTCGCTTTAGATCTCTGGGCCTGTCCTTTCCGCAAACTGGGGCCCCGGCCCTGCCTCCCAGTCCTGATTCCCACCTGTTCAATCCGCTCTGATGCTCACCTGACGAATACACCCAGCCCAGGCTGCGCTCTGCGGGCAGAAGGGTTCTCTGGCAGTAGCAGCTGGCATGTCTCACCTGCCTGTCTTCAACGGAGAGGCTCTGGATTCTCGTAGCATTAGGTTTCAGATTGGGTGGAAGAGTGGGCTTCTGACCCCTGCTCCTCTCATAGATTCCTGGGCAGGGATTCCTGTGACTGCTACTTCTCCAACATGTGCAGGCACCGATTGGTGAGATGGCTGCTTGGGGCGAGTCCAGCTGGGACCTTAAGCGGGCAGAGGTGACACCAGGACTCCTCTGGCAAGTGGCAGAGATCCTGGCCCCACGCCTCTCCAGGAAGAAGAAACACAGAAATGGGCATTGCCCGCCTGCTGGCAGAGGGAGTCTACACCGCAGCCTTCCCATTGCACGAGGGAGAGATGTCCCAAGCTCAGATCTCTCCCAGGCCTAAGGGCATGGCAGCGGTGGCTGGGGCATCCGGAGAGCACCCTCAAACCCCCCTGCAGCTCTCCCTCTTTTTGTCCCCCTAGGGCCCCTTTGAACTGCCTGGGTACCAGGGACCCGGTTCAGATCTCAACTCTTGCCAATTGCTGTGCCCATACTGGGCTTACTGGGGATACTGGTATAACTACCGGCCCCTGGACCACATATGAGAGTACTTTGGGGAGAAGGTGGTCATCGATTTTGCCTGGCTAGGTAAGTCTGGCACTGGGGTGGGGTTTGGGAGTGGGGCTTGAGTACAGAGATGGAGGTTCATGAATTTTCTCTCACCGTTCAGGTTTCTACATGGCTTGGCTGCTGCCTGTCAGCCTGGTAGGCACCTTGGTCTTTATCTCTGGACTTGTCACCATGGGGACCAACACACTAGTGTGGGTGGCTGCGGAAGGGTTGGGGAATGGGCTGGGTGGGCCAGGTCATCTGCCTGGTTGAGGAAAGGCCCTCTCAGGATGGGCACCCTCTGCTCACAGAGAGGAGGTCTGTGTCAGTGGGGGTGCCACTCTGTGATACCTGTGCCACATGGAATATTTCCGGGATCTGCTCCATGGCCAAGGTGGGCCAGCGAAAGGGGCAAAAAAACCAGGTAGGTGTTTTGGGCCCAACCTGGGCCTGGATGCTGGCCCTACAATGTGCCCTCTCACCCCTTCTCGCAGCCGAGCTGCCTCTTTGACCACCCTGGAACTGTGTTCTTCGGCATCTTCCTGGCCTTCCTGGAGCGCTGGAAGTGGGCAGTGCCACCTTGGCCCACCACCAGCACTGCAGTGACTTCCAGGACCAGGAAGTGATACCCAGCTCAGCCCTCCAGGCCCACAACCCCACTTCCCAGAGTTCTCAGAGGCCATAAGGTGTGCTGGGAAGAGCTCAGGCTTTGGAGTCCAGCATCCCAGGATCCAAATCTGGCTTCTCCTCACACTTTTCCTGGGTCATCTTCCACCCTTCTCTGACATCAGGATGATATAGGCTGGGTGACGTGAAACATTAGGAGTATTTAGATGATCAGCTGGGCCTTGGAGAGAGACCCTCCCTAGAACCGAGAAGGAGAAAACATTCCACCTGCCCCCCCTACCCATCCAGCTACCTACCTGTCTATCCAAACATCTAATCATTGATTCTGAATCTGTTCACTTCTCACTACTTCCTCTGCCACACCCCAGCCCTCCCCACTCCAGTCCAAGTCACATTTCCTCTTTCCTGGACAGCAGTGACCTCCTAGCAGGTCTCCTTGCCCCACTTAATTGGTTCTCAGCTGCCAGGAGGGTGACATCCTGTGTTACCTTCCTCAAAGCCTTCCAGGACAATCTCATTTGAGATGTACCTGGGAAACCATCCAACCCCCTCACAGTGGCCTACAAGGCCTTGTGTCATCTGGCCTGTGGCTGGTTCTCCCCCACTGGCTCGACCAGATCCTCGAATAGGTCAAGTTCATTTCCACCCTGGGGCCTTGGCATTGGCTATGCTCCCTGCCAGAATCCTCTTTCTTCAACTTTTTTTTTTTTTTTTGAGATGGAATCTTGCTCTGTTACTCAGGCTGGAGTGCAGTGGTGCAATTTCAGTTAACTGCAGCTTCCACTTCCCAGGTTCAAATGATTCTTCTGCTTCAGCTTCCCAAGTAACTGGGATTACAGGCATGTGCAACCACGCCTGGCTAATTTTTGTATTTTTAGTAGATGCGGGGTTTCACCATGTTGGCCGGCTGGTCTCAAACTCCTGACCTCAGGCAATCTGCCTGCCTTGGCCTCCCAAAGTGCTGGTATTACAGACAGATGTAAGCCACTGTGCCCAGCCCCTTCAGATTTTATATGGTCTACTCCTTGTAATTCAAGTCTCAAATGTCTCCTTCTTTTAAGGGGTCTTCCCTGACCACCAATCCAGAGAGGCTCCCTCTCACTTATTTATTATTTTTTTTGAGGTGGAGTTTCACTCTTATTGCCCGGGCTGAAGTGCAATGACATGATCTCGGCTCACTGCAACCTCTGCCTCCCAGGTTCAAACGATTCTCCTATCTCAGCTTCCCAAGTATCTGGGATTATAGGCGTCCGCCACTACGCCCGGCTAATTTTTTGTATTTTTAGTAGAGATGAGGTTTTACCATGTTGGCCAGGCTGGTTGTGAACTCCTGACCGCAGGTGATCCACCCGCCTCTGCCTTCCAAAGTGCTGGGATTACAGGTGTGAGCCACCACGCCCAGTCCCCTGTTTGAATTTCATCGCAGCATTCATCACTGTATTTTATGGTTTATTTATTATCTGTCTTCTCCCACTGGCATGTGAGCTCCATGAGAGCAGAGACCTTGTGTGTGATGTTGACTGCTGTATCCCCAGTGCCCAGAATGGTCTCTAGCATATGGAAGATGCTCAATAAATGTTTGTTGAATGAATCCGTGAATAATCTATCTTCTGCCTACCCATTTGTCCAGGCATTCATCACTTCATCCATTCAACAGGGTTATAGGAGATAGAAAACCAGACAAGGTATTTTAACAGAGAGAATTTAATATAAGGTATTGGTTAAACAGCTGCTGGGGGACTGAAAAAGCAGAAAGGGAACACTGAGGCAACAAAGTAAATGTCAGTGGTACCCCCTGGATAGTGTGGTGTACAACTCAGGTGACTCTAAAGAGTGGCCCTGGGCTGGGCATAGTGGCTCACACCTGTAATTCCAGCGCTTCCAGTGTCCAAGGCAGGAGGATTACTGAAGCCCAGGAATCTAAGATCAGCCTCAGCAATATAGTGAGACGTTCTCTCTACTAAAAAATAAAAACTTGCCGGGCATGGCGGCTCACGCCTGTAATCCAAACACTTTGGAGGCCAAGGCAGGTGGATCACCTGAGGTCGGGAGTTCAAGACCAGCCTGACCAACATGGTGAAACCACATCTTAAAAATAATAAATAGATAAATAAATAAACAATAAATACAAAAAAATTAAAAATAAAAATTAAAAAAAATTTAAATAAAAAATAAATAAAATAAATAAAAAATTAGCTGGGTGCAATGACATGTATCTGTAGTCCCGGCTACTCAGTAGACTGAGTCAGGAGGATCACTTGGGGCCAGAAGTTTGGGGCTGCTGTGAGCTATGATTGTGCCACTGCACTCCAGCCTGGGTGACAGAGCAAGACCTTGTCTTTAAAAAATATATTAAAAATTAAATTAAAATTAAAATTGGCTGTGCACAGTGGCTCATACCTATAATCCCAGCACTTTGAGGGGCTGAAGCAAGTGGATCACTTGAGGCCGGGAGTTTAAGACCAGCCCGGCCAATATGGCAAAGGAAAATAAAACAAAACAAAACGAAACAAAACAAAAACGAAACAAAGAAGGACATTACATAATGGTAAAAGGATCAATGCAACAACAGGAGTCAATGATCATAAATGCATATGCACCTAATATAGGAGCACCCAGATATAAGTTCTTAATGACTTATAAAGAGACTTGGACTCCCGCACAATAATAGCGGGAGAATTTGACACCACATTGTTAATATTCAATGGATCAACGAGATAGAAAATTAACAGGGACATCTGTGATTTGAACTCAGACCTGGAACAAGTAAACTCAGTGAATATTTGTAGAATTCTTCATCCCAGGTCCACAAAAACAACAACAAAAACAAACAAACAAAAAACATCTCTACTAAAATTACAAAACTAGCTCAGCATTGTAGCATGCGCCTCTAATCCCAGCTACTCGGGAGGCGGAGACATGAGAATCACTTGAACCCGAGAGGTAGAAGTTGCAGTTAGCTGAGATCACACCACTGCACTCCAGCCTGGGTGACAGAGTGAGACTCTGTTTCAAAAAGAATAAATCTGATTTAATTTAAAGAGTGGGCTGAGTGCGGTAGTTTATGCCTGTAATCCTAGGACTTTGGGAGGCTGAGGCAGGCAGACCACTTGAGGCCAGGAGTTCAAGACCAGCCTGACCAACATGGCAAGACTCTGTCTCTACTAAAAATACAAAAATTAGCTGGGCGTGGTGGCACATGCCTATAATCCCAGCTACTTGGGAGGCTGAGGCACAATAATTGTTTGAACCTGGAAGGGAGAGGTTGCAGTGAGGCAAGATTGCACCACTGCACTTAGCCTTGGGAACAGAGTGAGACTGTCTCAAAAAAAAAAAAAAAAAAAAGAGTGGCCCTGCCTTTGCACACACTGTTCCCACACTGTTCCCTCCCCAGAAAGCTTCTCTCCACTGTCCCTTTAGCACCTTTTCACCTTTTGGGTCACAGCTAAAGTGTCCTTTCTTCAGAGTGACCATCCGTGAAAACGTTTTCCTTCATAGGACATATATATATATATATATCTGTGTTCATTCACTTAATCTCTGTCTCACAAACTAGTTGGTAAACTTCATTAGGGCATGGATCTTCTCTGGTTTATTCACTGTGTCATATTCGGTATCTATTGCAGAGTGATACACAGTTAATAGTTACTGACTAAACTAATAAAGGTATCTACTCATCCACACATCCACCTATCCCATTCATCCATTCATCCATGCATCCCCATGTTCATCCACCATTCAGACCTTCATCTGCTTACCCACCTAACCATCCATTTACCATCCATCCATCCATCCATCCATCCTCATGTCCATCGATCATCCAACCAGACTTTCATCTGCTCACCAACCTAACCATCCGTCCATCCATCCATCCATCCATCCATCCATCAATTCATCTATCCATTCATCCATTCATCCATCCATTCATCCATCCTGATGTTCATCACCCATCCAACCAGACTTTCATCTGCTCACCCACCTAACCATCCACCCATCCTCCATTCATCCATCTATCCATTCATCCATCCATTCATCAATCCTCAACAATCTGACCAGACTTTCATCTGCTCATCCTTCTAGCTGTCTGTCTATCCTCCATCCATCCATCCATCCCTCTACCCATCCATCCTCATGTCCATCAGCCATCCAACCAGACCTTCATCTGCTCACCCACTTAACCATCCATTCATCCATCCATCCATCCATTCATCCATCAATCCTCATGTCCATCAACCATCCTACCAGACTTTTATCTGCTCACTCACCTAGTCATACGTCCATCCCTCCACCCTCCTGCCTATCTACCTACTTACTTGTGAGTAAACTATACAGATTTGCTGATTGTTTGGCCAGTTTACCTACCCATTTGTCTGCCTACTGTCTGCTCACCCATCAGTCTATTTAGTCCTTTCCCACATGTCCACCCTTTTGCTGTTTACTTCTCCCTCTACCTACCCAACCATCCAGCCATCCATCCACAGGCTTTTAACCATGTCCTGGGGGAAAAAGGCCCTGTAAAACCAAAAGCAAATTAGACCCCATTCCTGTACTTCCAGAGCTCCCTAGGAAGTCAGGAAAAGGTAAAGGGCTTCCCTTATCCTAGGATCATGGCATCAGCCTCTTGGCCCTAGGATGGGCATTTCTGTTGCCCCTTGTGACAGGAGTGCCTACATCTAGTGTTTGCTGCCCTGGCCCTGCAGATGATCCAGAACCCAGTGACAGGCCTGAATGAACCCTACTCCCCACCCCACAGCTGCCTTTCCTGCCTACTCAGTGGCTCTGCAGCCATTCTTACTGTGGTGAGGGGACATTGGGCCTTTGCTCTGAAAGGACTGGCCTCTCCAGGGTGGGTGCTCTGGAACCCTGGCAGCCCTCTCTCCAGCTGTGACAGCCCTCTCCCAGCCCCCAGCTCTGCATGGTGCTGATTTTCCTGGTGTCTATCATAATTTAGCTTGGCATCATCAGCACTGCAATGTGCCATACTGGCAACCCTCTGCTCATGACCCAAGTAAATGCCCTTGGGGCAGTGGAGGGTGGGAGCACTGTTCCAGGCTCCAGGCCTGAAGTAGGCATCTTCAGGATTTTTTCATCCCACCACATGGGTAGGCTCCAGATAATGGCCTATCACTCTTCCTAGGCTGGCAACATTGCCAACATCAGCAGCACTGCGCTCAACCTGGTGCTGGTTTTTTTTTTTTTTTTTTGAGATAGAGTATTGCTCTGTTGCCCAGGCTGGAGTGCAGTGGCATGATCTCAGCTCACTGCAACCTCTACCTCCCAAGTTCAAGCGATTCTCTTGCCTCAGCCTCCTGAGTAGCTGGAATTACAGGTATGCACCTATAATTCCAGGCTGATTTTTGTATTTTTAGTAGAGACAGGGTTTCACCATGTTGGTCAGGCTGGCTTTGAACTCCTGACCTAAGGTGATCCACCTGCCTTGGCCTCCCAAAGTGCTGGGATTACAGGTGTCAGTCACCTCGCCCGGCCTGGTCTTTCTCTTAAGCCAGGTCTACATCTCACTGGCTGGTTCACCAGATGGGGTAAGCGAAGGTAATGGGTTGCAGGGCTATCTTTGTGTCATCTGGGAACTGGGAGTCTGGTGTCTCCTATCACCCTCAAGTGAGAGTGGCCAGGGACACAAAGTTGGTATTAGGGGTTGGTGGGTTAAGGACAGGAGCATAGGGCTGACC